CAGGTTGAAACACCTGCTATTCCCCTAAATAATACCACCTCAATCCTACTATCACTTAAACAAAACAAGCAAGCCAGGTAATTCCAAGAAGACCAGGTTGGAGTTTCCAGGAACTCAAGCCACCTTTGCCGTCTTTGACTGTAGAATCATAGACACTTCCCCGGAGCTCCAGGTGAAAGGCTCCCCCTGCCCTTTTCTCCTTGGTAAATGACATCATTCTAGACTGACTGGCAGAGTGAACAGTTGACTAGCCACCAAACGGTTGAACAGAGTATGTTAAACTGTTCAGCCGTTTGGTATGGTTTTCCCAAGGGGGGTTCCTATCTAACCGCAGGCCTGTGCCAGAGCTGCGTAACCTTGCCAAGATTCCCGGGGTCCATGTTTAAGGGGGTGAAGCCTCAGGCCACTGTGTGCGTGCTCTTCTGCCACTGCCCAACAACATAGGTGGAATTTTGGTTTCCCAGCATGGGAATGAATTCCCATTTCCCATGATGCATATGTGTGATGTGAAAAACCATCTCACCTTGGGCTTCAATAGGCCTCTCAGAAGCAAGAGCCAAAAACAAGCAGGAGATTCCTGTTCCATATGCTCTGTTAAAAGAGGTTACAAGGGAATATTTTTCATAATCCACTTAACAATTAATTTTCCTCCTTTTGGCTGATGCTCAAGCCCACACATCAGTGACTCCCACGTTCCAGATGGACTTAGTTGCAGGAATCAGAATGTGCCTCACAAGATAAAAGATCAATATAACATTTGTTTGAGAAAACACATTCCTCTTATATGCTGAAGTATGTGATGTCTGCAACAGCAGGAATAAAGACGTAAAAATATTATTTTCTATGACATTGGCATGTTAACTTCTTAAGTGCCTAATTTTATTTTAACTGCCAAAACATAGGTTTTTTGTTTTGTTTTTGTTTTGTTTGTGTGATACTGGGATTTGTTTTAATACACTATTAATAGTTATTTTCTATGCAGTATACTCCAATAAAGTTCATTATTTAGTTAGAATTTCACTGTCACTTTAAAAAAAGTCACAACGGAATTGGTTATAAATGCAGAATAACTGACAAAGAAATTTACTAATTTTCCTTGTGTATTAATGTAACTAGCCCTTAAAATTGATTACCAGTCTTTTGGGGATAGTGGGATGTCATTCACCCTCCCCTGCAAGTCTATGCCAACCAAGTTTTAACCAAGTTGTAAAGTCCTCAAAGGCTGTAGGACTTTTCAGAGACAGAGATACAGACTTAGGTGAACTGGACCTCAGCTAAACTCTGATGAGATCCCAGAACAATCTGACCCATCAGGCTGCTTCATGTATTATATGACTGTTGAGGTCAGCGAGAGAATCATAAGAACTGCTTCAAAAATTCACAATAATTATTTGGGGGGCATTCATTTAAATATGCCCCACCATAAATCATATCATTAGGTAGGTAAAGTTCCCAATATAAATAATTTGGCAACATAAGCGAATTTTGCCGATGTAAACACATTTTAGCCCCTGGATTTCTGAATACATAGAGTGCTAACCTAGATTCAGATTCAAGGCTGCATGTTGAAAATCTCAAAAGTAGGAGCTGTGAATTCAGCAGTTGGCTACTAGAATTGGCCACTTAAAATCTATACCTGAGTACTTAAAATTCTCTGGTCTCTTCCCAAATTAGACACTCTCGACATGGTCCTGAGGATCTATGTATATTTTAAACTCAACTTTGAAGAATGAGTAGGATTTTTATCCTCAAGTAGGTGGGAATGGCATTCCAGGGTACATGATGGTTTAGTTGAAAGGCATGGGTCAAAGAAATATAATGCATTTCATTTGCTTGGCTTTTGCTGCAGAACTTCTCAGATCCTTTTATATGCTGATAGACATCATAAAGCATTTGAAGGATGTAACATGTAGCATTTGACAAACATATTTGAACATGTCTCTTAATCATAAGATAAACAGCCCTTAAAACATACTTTGGGAAATTCTATTATTAATATTAAGTGATTTTCTTAATGTGCAATATTCTCCAATTAAGTTCATTATTTAATTGGGATTTCATTGTCACTTAAGGAAAGTCACAATGGAATTGATTATAAATGCAGAATAATTGCTAAATAAATTTCTAGTTACTAGTTTTTCTTGTGTGTTAATGTAACCAGCCCTTAAAATTGGTTATCAGTTTTTTGGATGTGGTGAGATGACATTCACCCTCCCCTGCAAGTCCATACCAACTTTGTTTTAACCAAGCTGTAAAGCCTATTTGAACATGTTTCATGATCATAGGCTAAATGCCCCTTAAAACATATTTTGGGAAATTCTAGGCTTAGGAAAGGAGAAGACAACGTAGAAAGACTCCCTGTTAACACTTTCTAAGCTTTAATCACACAAGGGCACGGAACGCAAACTCTCCTGTGTTTCCTTAACCAGGAGCAATAGGCCAGGCTCCTGGCAATCACCATTGCTTTCTTGGTGCTGACTTGGCCTTGCTGGGTGCATCCCTCGCCTGTTTGAAATGCAGTACACCTGCTCCAGACAACTTGAATAACAGAACATATTTTTCAAAGTGCCCTAGGGGGAAAAAAGGCAAAAATTGAGACAAGAGACATTTATAGGGTCAGCAGAGTGAGCTTTGGCTCTTCTGCCAATAGCTCAGCTTGGGAAAACACAGAGACCTGAAGGAGCTGACTGTTAGGAAGAAGGGCCATCTGAGATGTGAATTTTCATCCCTGCTTGGCTTCTTGCAAACTGTGTGACCTCGAGCAAGTCACTTCACCAGTCTAAATCTTGATTGCTTCATCTGTAAAATTTAGTTAACTACATAGGAGTTCTCTGAGGAGCCAATGAAATCATATTTGTAAGACACCCAGCACAGAGTCTGGTGTTTAATGGAGACATACTAAGCCTAATAAAGCATTCTTCCTTCCTTCCCAAAATCTGGAAGCAATTTTCTTTAAGCTGACTTTGATTCAAGAAGCATTCTTTGCACATTCTATTATATAAAAAACGGTAGATTGAGCTCATCTCATAGCTTGATGCCTAACCAGGGAAGGTGTTCAATAAATACTTTTGTATGACTGAATACTCATATGTGAATAAATAAGTAAACACAGAGAACCACAGATTCGCAGAGGAAGAAGTGATTACCGGGGGACCCATTAGTCTTCTATTCCTCTTATACATGGAGTATTGGTGGGCACTCATTCAGCCTCTCTTTCTACCCTTTGCTTGGCCTTCTCCAAGAGAAAAGTGTGGTTACTCTGATAGTTCACTAGACCACACTTTTCTAGGGGACAGGGTCATATTCTGTGTCTGAGCTACACGTAGAATAGAGCCAAATTTAGCATACCTGCCATTCTTGGTACTACCTGTTACTAGGTGTGGCAGCATGTCTGTGGCCCTCATCCATGCTTATGGCTGTGTTAGGGGACTCAGGGTCTTTTCTGTAAGCCCATTCTTATTTCTTCACATTACCCAAATGTGCAAACCCTAAGATTCAGGCTAGAAGCCTTCAGCTGAGCCCCAGGCCTCCACATAATATTCAACTAAGCAGTTAAAAGGAATTTTATTATAGAGATGACACTACTGAAAATCAGCAGAGTAAAGTATTTAACATCTAACTTATAAAATGAAATCATAGGTTCTCCCAGTATATAGTGTTTTCATTGGTAAAACAATTATACTGTTTTCAATCCTTATTAACTCTCCTATAGGCAACATATATTGGTTTCCCCCATGACAACATAATTAGTATTCTAAGCATACTTTTCACCAGCTGTTTATGTCTTCAAGTGAAAAGTCAACAGCTAAATATATAAAATGGAAAGAGCATAAACAGTAAAATTGATTTTAGTACTCAGAATGACTTGATTATCTATATTTATAGCTGTCATTAGAGAAAGACTTAATGCTTTATATAATCAGTTCTTTATTGAAAGTTTCACGACACAGGACTTGATGCTAATTTACTTCATAGCATCCAGGAAGAAGTACTGTTCTCTAAGCCACAACATTGGCTTTAGCTTCTAGGTTCATTAACTACAAAACATGTTGCCTTACATTAAGAGCTCTTTATTGAGCAGCTTTCAAAGGGAGTTTCTATTCCAACTTGCTAACATAATATATGCCTTTCCCCAGAGTCCAGTTGGCTGTTTGAGTCTAGGGAATGAGTGATGCTCTTTGTTATTAGAAAAGTAATGTTGATTCTGTATAATGTCAATATATCTGTAGCATAACACAGTGAAGAAGTTTCATTTTTCTTGCATGAATGCCATTTTATCTAGAAAGTTTTAGAGCTATTTCTACATATTTTTAATATTCTTTTTGTATTCTGGTCTCTGAACCTGGAGAATTTCCCCCAAAGTTTAAAAAAAAAGTACAAATTGTCACGATAATAGCAATAACTACCAGTTATAGAGCACTTACTGTGTACCAAATCCTTTGCAAAGCACTTTCTATAGATAGTATGTCCTTTCATCTTTGCAACAACCTGATGAGGCAGGCACTGTTATGTGTCTGTTTTACAGATGATGAAATTGAGGCTTAGAAAGGTGAAGTGACCATAAGTTGATGTGGCAGTAAGTGGGAGCACTACTAGTTAAGCTCAGGCAGGCTGGCTTTTGAGAATGAATTTCCAATCATCCATTACAGCTGTAGACCAGTCGCGTGCAACTTCCAGTGCTCAGATCACTGCTTATTGCCTTTCTATTGCTTTCTTTCTCTTCTTAGCCTATACAACCATTATGTATGCATGTATGAATGCATGTGCACACATGTCATATATGTATGTATATGTTTTTATATGCTTATATATAGACATATTTAATTGTGTCTCACTTTATTGTGCTTTGCAGATGTTGCATTTTTTATAAATTGAAGGTTTGTGACAACCTTGCAGCTAGCATGTCTGTCAGTATCATTTTTTCAATAGAATGTGCTAACTTTGTATCTCCGTGTCACGTGTTGACAATTCTCACGACATTTCAGACTTTTTTGTTATTATTATATCTGATGGGGTGATTTATGATCAGTGATCTTTGATGTTACTGTTGTCATTGTTTCGGGGTATCACAAAGTGCTCCTGTATAAGATAGCAAACTTAATTGATAAATGTATGTATTCTGACTGCTCTGCCAATGGGCCGTTCTGCCACCTGTCTCCCATTCCTTGGATGTCCCTATTTCCTGAGACACAACAATACTGAGAATATGCCAATTAATAACCCTACAATGGTCTGGTAGTATTCAAGTTAAAGGAAGAGCCGCTCATCTCTCACTTTAAATCAAAAGCTAGAAGTGATTCTGCTTAGTGAGGAAGGCATGTCGAAAGCCTAGATAGGCCAAAAGCTAAGTCTCTTGTGCCAAGCAGTAAAGCCAAGTTGTAAATTCAAAGGGAAAATTTTCGAAGGAAACTAAAAGTACTACTCCAGTGCACACACAAATGATAAAAAAAAACAAAACAGGCTTATTGCTGATATGGAGAAAGTTTTAGTGGTCTGGATAGAAAATCAAACCAGGCACAATATTTCCTGAAGCCAAAACCTAATCCAGAGCAAGGTCCTAACTCTTTCAATTTTCTGAAAGCTAGGAGAGGTGAAAAAGCTGTGGAAGAAAACTTTGAAGCTAGAAGAGGTTGGTTCATGAGGTTTAAGTAAATAAGCCATCTTCATAACATAAAAGTCCAAAGTGAGGCAGCAAGTGCTGATGGAGAAGCTGCAGCAAGTAATTATGAAGATCTAACTAAGATAATTGGCAAAAGTGGCTACACTAAACAATAGATTTTCAATGTAGGAAAAATAGCCTTCTATTGAAAGAAGATGACCTTCATGACTTTTATAGCTAGAGAAGAGAAGTCAATGCTTGGCCTCAAAGGACAGGCCAACTCTCTTGTTAGAGGCCAAAGCAGCTAGTGGCCAAGGTCAAGCCAGTGGACATTTATCATTCTGAAAATCCTAGGGCCTATAAGAATTAGGCTAAATCTACTTTGCCTGTAGTCTATAAATGGAATGATAAAGCATGGATGACACCACATGTATTTACAGCATATAGTTTACTGAATATTTTAAGCCCACTATTGACACCTGCTGCTCAGAAGAAAAGATTTCTTTCGAAATATTACTTCTCATTGGCAATACAGCTGGTCATCCAAGAGCTCTGATAGAGATCTACAAAGGAGATTACTGTCATTTTCATGCCTGCTACCACAGCATCCATTCTGCAACCTATGGATCAAGGAATTATTTTGGCTTTCAGGTCTTATTGTTTAAGGGAGTACATTTCATAAGGCTATAGTTACCATCGATAGTGATTCCTATGATGGATCCTGGCAAAGTATATTGACAAACTTCTGGAAAGGATTCATCATTCTAGATGCCATTAAGGACATCTATCATAGATAGATGAAAGTTAAAATACCAACATTAACCAGTGATATAGTTTGGATGTTTTCCCCCTCCAAATCTCATGTGGAAATGTGATCCTCAATGTTGGAGGTGGAGCTTAGTGGAAGGTGATTGCATCATGGGGGCAAATCCCTCATGAATGGCTTAGCATCCCTTGGTGATGAGTGAGTTCTCTCAAAGTTAATTCACATGAGATCTGGTTCTTTAAGAGTCTGGGACCTCCTCTGTCTCACTTTGGCTCCCTCTCTTGCCACGTGGTATGCCTGCTTTTGCTTCTCCTTTTGCCATGAGTAAAAGCTCCCTGAAGCCTCACCAGAAGCCAGGCAGATGCTGGTGCCATGCTTCCTGTACAGCCTGAAGAACTGTGGGCCAAATAAACCGTTTTTCTTTATAAATTACCCAACCTCAGATATTTCTTTATAACAATGCAAAAACAGACCAACACAACCAGCGTTTGGAAGAAGTTGATCCCAACCTTCATGGATGACTTTGAGAGGCTCAACACTTCAGTGGAGGAAGTAACTGCAGATGTAGTAGCAAGAGAACTAAAATTAGAAGTGAAGCCTTAAGATGTGACTGAATTACCTTAATGGATATGGAATTGCTTCTTATGAATGAAAAAGAAAGTGGTTCTTTTGCGATGGGATCCACTCTTGGTAAATATGATGTGAATATTGTTCAAGTGACAATCAAGGATTTTGAAGGTTACATGAACTTACTTGATAAAGCAGTGGCAGAGTTTGAGACGATGGACTCTTATTTTGAAAGAAGTTCTGCCATTGGTAAAATGCTATCTTCAGCATTTTGTAGAAAGAAATATTTTGTGAAAGGAAAAGTCAATCAATGTGGGTGAACTGCATTGTTGTCGTAGTTTAAGAAATTACCACAGCCACTCCAGCCTTCAGCAGCCACCGCCCTGACAGTCAGCAGCCATCAACAGAGGCAAGACCTTTCACCAGCAAAAAAGTTAAGACTTGCTGAAGACTCAGAGCTACTGGCAAGCAATTTTTAACAATATTTTAAATTAAGGTATGTACATTTTTTTAGACATAATGCTGTTGCAGAGCTAATAGACCACAATTTACTGCATATATAGCTTTTATATGCACTGAGAAACAAAAGAATTAATGTGACTTGTTTTATTGTGGTATTTGCTTCATTGCAGTGGTCTGTAACTGAACCTGCTCTATCCCAAGGTGTGCCTATTTACTACATGCAAATGACATGAACATTAACAAAACATAATCAAAACCACTTCATTATATTTGTAACTGTAATTCCTCAAGGAATTACATACTCCTTTGTGCTTCAATGTCTTCTGAGAAAATTTTCAAACATTTTAAATATAAATCATCATTCTCGTGATCTCATTCGATCCTCAGATCAGCCCTGAGATGTTGGCAGATTTTGTGCTATTGTCTCTTGTCTCATCTTAGAAAGGAAGTGGCACGTCCAAGGTCAGTTCACCACTTGGGGTAGAACTTAAACCAGAACTCCCCCTCAACTGTTACGCCACATATTAAAGCACTGTGCTGTCCCCCATAGGACCTCAGGCAAAGAATGACACTTTGGGCTGCACATAAGCTAATGATGGAAATAAAATGTCAACCTTCAAGTAGGCAGTGTAACAGAAATCTCAGGCATGGTGCTCATGTAGCAGCATTTCATGGGCGAGTTTATCTGTTTGTGGAGAATCCTCCATCTTTGTTTTTCATCAATCTCTGCCCATATAGTTAACTATGTATTTTACCTTGTACCACCTTAGAACCCCGACCTAAACTCCAATCCCAAATGCCATCCCAGGATGTTATATGGTACATGTATATTGATGTGACTTTCCCCGCTAGATTGCAAGTTCACTTCTGTGATCCGGTTTTCAGCATAGAGCCTGGCAGCAAAAGATCTCAAATATTTATCCATACATTTATTTGTTCTGCATACATTTTTGCTGAATTTACTGGCAATTAGAAAAGAAATGGAGAAATAGAAAAGGAAAAAAGTTTGAGACCTAAATCCCAGCTTTAATTATTTTGCCATAGGACAGGGTCTCCATACTCTTTATAACTCCCCTGCCCAAAATACCAAACTTTGTCTGGAAAAGAATCCCTAAGAGCTTCTCTGTCCAAGAATGGGAGAGAGCAGGGCTGGTTGTGCCAAAAATGGCCTACAAAGATGTTCTTGGGGACTTAATGTGCCCTCTAGGACAGTGGGACTTATAAAACTCATAGGAGAGAATTCTAGGGAGGAGACCAACATGGCAAAGCAAACTGCCCCCTCCCACCACAGAGTTAATAAACAATGTCCAGCCTTTAAGTTGTGGGAAAGAGAATGGTGAAATCATTCTCTGTCTGGCACAAGTTGCAGACTATTAAGTTGTTTGGGAAATGTGGACTTGTACCAATCTAGGAGATTGGCCATGGCCATTTTAATATGTTTTTGAAAATCAGCAAGTGCTTACAAACTTGTAGTAAAAGCCCTAATAAACTAAATTTGACCGGGACTCAGCCAGAATTGTATTTACCTCCTGAAGTGGAGGGTTAGGAAACCACATTAAAAATTAAAGTGAAAAAAGAAAGAAGAAAAAGCAATAGATCTGTTTGTTTGGACAGTTGTTTGGTCAAAAGAATTAACTGTCCACTCTCAAAGCCAGCTCATGTTTCAAGTGACAGGTGAGTTTGTTTGATGGCACGCAGTTACAAATAATGCCATCTCCCCGCTTTCTACATTTGTTTTGTTTTACAAGTCTTATTTGTTTTTACAAGGGTAAGTTTGGAGGGGGGTGGGTAGTTACTGTAGCCAGAAGAATAACTGCTTTGTGCATTGTCCATGCTCATGTAGTATACTGAACAAGTACTAATAAGAATAAAATTATTGGAGCAAATAAAATCACATATGCTTTTTAGTCACCTGGGAGAGGGGCCGTGCCAGCCTTCTTGAGCATATAAAAATAATAATTCCTCACATCTGAATAGCATTATAGAACTTATAAAGCCCTTTCACATATTCACATATATTATGTTTGATCCTCAACAGCATGAGTTAAGAATGATCTATGTTGTGATACCATTTTACAGTTTAAGAGGGGTTAAGCAGCTTGTCCAAGGAGCTCCTAAGAATTGGTCAGGCGATTCCAACAACGTCCTGGCGCCAGAGCATTCCATGCTGTCCACTGTGACGCAAAAGAGCAAAAATGTATGAATTGGAGCAAAAATCTCTAAGGTCGTTTTGTGTAGAAGAAAACAGTTTGGCACAGGAAATGACTTATCCCCTGGCTCTCCAATATCAGAGAAATGGTCTATACCAGGACAAGAGCACAGTGCTAAGGATTTCATACAGACCAGTTCAGACACAGGCTAGCTACGTGCTGCTTAGGACACATATGCAAAATGAGGAACTAATGTATGGCATCGTTACCTAAAGGTATTGTTAAAGATTGCATGGGGCTAATGTAAGTTACTGTGCTTTTTGATATTGTCTAAGAACTCACTGGCTTTGAGGTCACTTTTTCTATCTATATTAATGAGGAGCTGGTGACTTCATTTCCCATTGTTTTTGTAACAAATTACCCAAAACCCAATGGTTTAAGACAACCGAAATTTATTCTCACAGTTCTGGAACCAGAAGTCTGAAATCAAAATTGTCATTGATTTTGAAAAAGACAAGGAAGCAAAATCTCTCTTAAAGCCTTCTTTTTGCTGGGGGCTTTAAAAGATATTCCTCTTCCTTGCCTTTTTCAGCTTCTAGAGGCTGCCTATTTAAATAATAAGAGATAATTATTATTGTAAGTATTAAATAGTATATGTGTTTCTTATGTATATGTATTTCTTATTATATGTAAGAAATATTAATGAGGAGCTGGTGGGTTCATCTCCCATTGTTTCTGTAACAAATTACCCAAAACTTAATGGCTTAAAACAACCTAAATTTATTCTCAGAGTTCTGGAACCAAAAGTCTA